TAGCTCCTGGGTGATTACAAATTTGATGACTTTTGAGGAATAGTCACTAAAAGATTTTTTCAGGGTGGAAGGTATGCAAATTCATCTAATAAAAGCAAGTAACAAAGTGATCAGAAGTCAGTACATTAGCCTTTTCAACATGTAGTTGTAAGATAAAGATCTAAAGCCAATCACTAAAATATCATAGAAGCTTTAATATACAATTGTTAATTCCAAAGTTTTTTTTTAATCTTTCTAAAAAATCTACAGGAGTCATTAAAATAATACCTGGTGATCCAACTACGAGGGTGTCCCAGTTGCGCTCTTGTGTTGTTATTAGCTGAAGGAGGCTGAAGGAGATCAGCGGCACAGAGATGCAATAAAAGATGAAAAAAAGGTAAAAACAGTATTGTATAAAACAAAAAACATGGGAATTTTTAATGGTACGCAGTTTTCTTGCAAACTGGTTGTTATCCAGTTAGGGTTTAGCTCTCCTTTATTAACATGGAATTTAGAGATCAGGTTTAGCTAGTGTTTAACTTTGCCACATCCGGGTAGAAGTATGAGACATACTGTAATATTTTGCTGACATCCTGCTAATACAGCAGTCTTTATTATCTGTTGGCAAACATAAGCTGCGGTCTCTCCGTGTATTTCTTCTGTGTGGCATATATGAACATTGTTAGTCATTTCTGTTCTGGTTTCACAATCCGAAAGGCTGTTCAAAACTTCTGATTTTTTATCACCATCATCTGCAAGACAATCAGATGCCTTTAGATTATTGTTTTTTTCCTCCACGTTATGTTCTTGAAGGTTGTGTTCACTGATGACGTCTTTTGGATTGGCAATAGGCGAGCACACTGAAAATGCTGCCAGTAGGTCCTGTACCATTGTGACAACTTCACATTCGTTAAAGACTTCCCACAAGCCACTTGATGCAAGAATGAGAAACTGGCATGTGCTGTATACTGGGATGGAAACCGTATAAGGTACCGGGATAATTGAAGACTTAAGTTTGGGATCTCCATGGAAACCAAGTCCTCTGGTAACTTTGCTACATCCTTCGATCAAACCACAGTCCTCATTAGCACTGACGGATCCACCACATTGCAGGACTCGTTGCATTTCCAGAGAATTGCCAGTGCTGTGATCTCTAGTAAGGCAGTACGCTTTTCCATTTCTACATAAAACTGCTTTAAGGTTTCCTGTAATATGAAATTATAGTGTTAACTGAACATGAGATTTTTCATATCATTTTATATGTACAAAAATGTTTAATATTATTTCAAGATCCCGAAGCACCTGTTCACATCATTAAGCTTATACCATGAAGTGCCAGAGCCAGGTCCCAGCTGCAACCGCTGCAACCCTGGTAGTTCTCATGAAAATCCAAAGTATCTGCACTGGTACTCGAAAAGTATCTGTGCATCCCTACCCATAAGTGTAGTATTCCTTAATGGACAATGTTTTAGCTCAGTGACCCTATAACGCTTTTTCCTATTTCTTTTAGCTATTTCTCTTGATAAACACTAGTGTGATTTTTCTATAGGTAGCCTATTTTTCAAAGTCCTCCTATGGCAGATACCTTAGTCCCTTCTTTCTATATAACAAGTGCTGCGATGAAAGGAAAACTGGTAGGCTTTAGATAGTCAGTTCACATTTCCTGCAAGTCACTATAATGAGATAACAAAAACAGCACTGGAGTTAAATTCTTCTACACATTTAGGGTATAACAGACCATGCTGTTCAGCACAACTGCCAAGAGACAGAATAAATGTCATCTTGTCTAATCATTTTTCATCTGCTGGCTGCATTAAGGGTTGATGGAACAACAGGTTGAGTATATCATCCCATACTTCCCTTTGTCAATCTTAAGTGTTACTTCCGGCTGTAGGTTATAAAATACTGTATCAGGCCAGCTGGATAAAAAAATTACTTCTAATGTGTGTTCCGGGTATGCTCAGGCATCATCCCAGTTGGTTGTACTTGAAGCAGTTCCAATCAGACTCCTTAAGCAGGTGCGATGTTCTGATATGTCAGCTGAGTGCTCTCAGTTTAAAGGAGAAGCGATGATCTGAGCGATATATTAGACAAGGTCATTGCAATCTTAAGGATATTTTGGCATCGTTAGAACATAACTAAAAGGCCTTCAAAAACAATTGTTTTACCTCATTTAGCAGCCACTTGCAACACATTGCTGAATCGAACATAAGAGCCAAGCTCTCTTGGAACACACAGTTCACTGATCACAACAAAAGTACTTTATTTGGCAGCCAACCTGAAATCCTTAATAGCAAAGATCAAGTGGTGCATGTTAAGTGAGAACAAAGAATATCATGTTCTTTTAGCTTATACTGAGAAACATCTAGGCTAATTTGCCACTTCATTATCACATTTGTATTATTAGAGAAAGAAAATATATGCCATCCTTCAACTTGAGCCTTTTCCCTAAGGAGAGCTTTCTAAAAAATATTTCTTCCTCATAGATATAGGAAATGTAAAACAATCTCTGCTTATGTGCTCATACAATAATGCCGATTATATCAAAGTCATTAACGTAAATAGAAAAACACAAAGGGGTTGATTTACTAACCTTATAAACACACCACGAACATGTATACACCTCTGTAGTGTGTTCCCTCCCAGCATGATCTATGGGTGGAATCTAAACACCTTTGTAGTGTGTACACACCCAGCAGGTGTGTTGTGCAAAGCCTTGCATGAATTGCAAGGTGATGTTGTGTAAATTAGCTCTATGTTGTGTTGCTTGCGTTGATGAATGCAGGAACGTAAATGCATGAGCTAACCATTTTTGTCTAAACTGTGAAGCAGCATTATATATGCATCATGCACATGATTTTTCCATATATGGCATTAGTGGAAATATGCTTTTAGAGACTTTTTGGTTGATAAATACGTTTTGCTGTGTAAAAATCACACGCACCTGGTGCGTGCGTGCGTGTGTTTAGGTTAGTAAATCACCCCCAAAATCTCAGGATACCAAAACGAAGATCTTAATGAAGTTGTATTACACAACAATCACACCTAATATACTGTAGAATCCTAATGCAAAGATAAATTCATTTTATTTAAAGTCATGGCAAACAGATCTATTACTAATGTAGCTGCACCTGCCCCTAGTTCCCAATATGAAGAAGAGGATTTTCCAGCCTGCTACAGAGGCCACCTCCCTATCTTCATTTTGGTGTCTAGGGACAAGAATGGCAATCAAAAGGTATCTATGATCAAAAACTACAATTAAATATGTATTTCTATATTTATTTTTCCTAATTTCTATCCCATTCCTAATAACCATATCGATGTAGACGTTTGTAAACTTATTTATTCAAGATGCCCATTGGATGTGCTTCCATAATGCACTGACACAATTTCACTCAGCCCTGTGAATATGCACTTCTATGTGTCACCCCTCTCACTAAAGGTGCCCACACACCTGCCGATTATCTTACGATAATCGGCAGGTGTATGGAAGGAGTGCGACTGTTTCTACTGTACGGTCGCACATCTTTTGTCTTCCGAGCACGCTCGAAAACCTGCCAAACATTGTACGATTTTCTGCGGATTAGTGGTGCTCGGAAGACAAATGCCGAATGGGCCAGTGTGCACAGTAGCTATATGCAGTATTTGCATATAGCTACTGCTAGCAAGCAGTAGCTATATGCAAAAACATTTTTAAAAAGTTTTAAAAAGGCTTTAAACTTACTTGTGTCTTCGCCTCATGCTCCCGTCCGAACGTCTGAAGAGTCTCGGAAGGCTGCAAAGGATCTCGGGGCAGGCGCATGTGTACTTCAGATGTTCGGCCAGGAGACAAGGAGAGACGCAAGGTAAGTCTATGGTGCAGCATGCACCCGCACAGACACCGTGGGACATTAGAGGAGGGGAGCACAGAGGAGTCAGCGCTGGATTGGAGACCCGCACCAGCGATGGAGAGAGGGCTGAAAACTACAGGAAAGAAGAAGAAGAAGATCGGATTAATAGACATCATTTAAGGCAGTGGCTCTCTACCTGTGTAACCTTAGGACCCACATTGGTCCTTGGTCATTAAGTCACGACCCAAGTCTGCAATGTCTGCACTGCAATGGAACGCACGGCATTAGGGTACCGCGTGTTCCGGTGCGGGCGTACAAACTGTGGGTGGGAGATGCGTTTGGGGTACCAGTCAAATAAATTGCAACGCAGCAGACCTCCCACACCAGAATGCATGGCAGGTGCAAATGGGTGGTACAGTGCATTAATCACATGGTACTATGCAATTAACGCACTGTACTAGAGTGAACAGGCTCTTTTTTTTTAGGATCCACCCAGTCTTCCTACCTTACAAGAACTGGAGTGGATCCTCAGCCTGGGGTCCATTGTGGGCTGCTGTGCTGTAACGAAGCTCCATCCATATGTACATTGCTTCTACAGCTCCCTTGCGTGCCCTGTAGAGGTGCCAGAATATGATGCCACTGGTCCAGGCACCCCTATAGGACACTGAGGGAGCTGTAAGCAATGCAGGCATGGAGCTCCCTTGTGGCCATACCCCCATCCCAAGCTGACAAAAAAGTGCATGAGAACCCCAATTTACTAAAACAAGCTTAGTATCACTCCTCTACTTGTTAATTACTCTATCCAGTTCCCTAATACACTGCCATCCCCCATCCCAAGCTGACAGAAAAATGGAGGCATGCGGCGACCCACTGAAACACGGGCTCGCAACCCACTTTTGGGTCACGACCCACCAGTTGAGCACCAAGGATTTATGTTAAAAGAAATCTGACATTAATGTCACTTTAAGGCAGAGGTCAGGCAAGTTTGTAAGCCCTGTAGAGACATAATTGCACAGTTCTAAAAAGGAGTTGTACATTTTGGGGTAAAGCAAACATTATACATGGGACACACGGAGAGAAGCAAAGCCTTGCGGTTCCAAAAAAAAAAAAAGGTAGGTACTGGCCGCTATGACTAGTTCAAATACTTTTCT